AACGATCACCGTACACGACCGTGTGGATTCATTAACTAAACGAAGGCCTATTAACGTGTTCTAATGAAACGTTAATTAAGAATTTCTATATAATGCGATTTTACGCCCAAACTATTAATTTGTGCTGGAATTGATTAAACTCGTGTGAATTTGTTGCTAAAATTTGCAACAATTTTACATTGTATCCAGGTCAAGGAGTTTATAGAGGTTCAGTTGTCATAGTAACATAGTTAGGTATTAAAGAGAGATGCAGGCAGCAGTATTAGGCTACAATAACAAAGAAATCTCCCGTAAATACAAAGAAATGATTTCATTGGTCAGTACCTTTCTTCACCTTGACGGCATTCGACACAACACAGGATGCTAACGTCATATAGTTAACCTCCGGCTATTTCGTATATTGTCAATCTATTTCAGAGTTGTCGTTCCCTAACAGTCACAATACATCATAGCATATCACAATGTATCTCAAAGTGTACAAAATGTAAACATGACGGTTGGTGGCCATTTACTCAAATTTAACCATATAAATTAATGTAGTGATTTTCAAAATAATAATACAAATAACAAAACAGAACAAGAGATCCCAGAGGGATCTTGGGAACCCACCATAGTTTGATTTTTATATGCTCTTGGAAAGTTGGATCTTTTCCCTTCTTTTCTCTTCTCTGTTTTTGCTCTGAATCATAAGACATTTGATGATAACTTTTACCTGCCAAATCCAAAATGGCCACCTGAAAGCCATTTACTTTCTTCTGGTCGGTCCCAAAATACAACGAGCACATGGAGAGACCAAAGGGAACATACGTAAGCAATAGAAATAGTAATCTTTACTAGGCAAATTCCAAGATGGCTGCCTGTCGGTCATTTTGTTTTCTGATCAGTCCCAAAATTACATGGGCACAACTAGGGACCAAAGGGAACCTACATATGAAATTTGAGAAAGATCCATCCAGCACTTCTCAAGAAATAGTGATAACAAACTTTCGACGTCAAAATCCAAGAGGGCTGCTTGTGGGTCATTTTATTTTGTCTGATCAGTGCCAAAATCAAACAGGCACAAGTAGGGATAAAAAAACCCAAACACATGAAAATCTATGCTGTAGTTCTCAAGAAATAGCGATAACAAAATTTCGAAGTAAAAACCATGATGTCCGTCTGTCGGTAATTGTGTTTTTCTGATCAGTCCCAAAATTACATGGGCACAACTAGGGACCAACCGGAACATACACATGAAATTTGAGAAAGATCCATCCAGCACTTCTCAAGAAATAAGGATAACAGAATTAGTTTACGGACGGAGGGATGACGGACCATGGACGCAGAACAATTTGCTAAAATGATGAAATACTTTATCATTGGACACAAATACGTTTTTGAGAATCTTGAAATGGTGTGAACCATTTACAGAGGTGTTGTTAGGGTACCCCAATGCACTCTGGGTGAGATTGGTATATTGTATCTACTTGACTTGTCAGTCACATAATATCACCATTGCACAATTCCATTCCAGGTACCTCTCCGACAAACATAATGCTATGACTGCGATAATTTTGCATGTATTAGTCTTGAGATACTCGCACATTCTTAACATATCAAGGTGCTCCATATTAATCTCTAACTGTTGGTGAAAGTCACAACTTTAATAAGACATCTCCACCCAGAGAAGAGACCAATGCCCTCCCTTATTACTATACAAGATTTACAATTTTCTAAGGATGGCGCCATCACATAGATCTATTTCTGTGCCAAACAAGAGTATGGTCTCCCTTCTGCACAAGGTTTACATTTTCCACAAGGGAAGAGGTCAGTGTCTGGATCTTTCTCTGTACAAGGTTTACATTTCTCTGAAAGAAGACGCAAGCATTGGACATTGCACCAGACAAACCAGACAATCTTCTTGCCCAAATCTTGTACCAGTTTACATTCCTGTAAGAAAGGAGACAAGCTTATACCTCCATTTGTGTACCAAAGCAGTGTCGGACTCTGTTTCTCTGGTCTAGAGGCAGTGTAAGACTGGGGACACTTTCCTTGGATCTCTGTCTCCCTGGTCTAGAGGCTGTGTCTGACTGGGAACTCTCCCCTTTGATCTCTGTATCCCTGGTCTAGAGGCATTGTTAGACTGGGGCCTCTGACCTTGGATCTCTGTCTCCCTGGTCTAGAGGCAGTGTCAGACGGGGACTCCTACCTTGGATCTCTGTCTCCCTGGTCTAGAAGCAGTGTCAGACTGGGGCCTGTTACCTTGGATCTCTGTCTCCCTGGTCTAGAGGCAGTGTCCATCTGGGGCCTCTGACCTTGGATCTCTGTCTCCCTGGTCTAGAGGCAGTGTCCGTCTGGGGACACTTTCCATGGATCTCTGTCTCCCTGGTCTAGAGGCAGTGTCCGTCTGGGGACACTTTCCATGGATCTCTGTCTCCCTGGTCTAGAGGCAGTGTCAGACAGGGACTCCTACCTTGGATCTCTGTCTCCTTGGTCTAGAGGCAGTGTCAGATGGGGACTCCTACCTTGGATCTCTGTCTCCCTGGTCTAGAGGCATTGTCCGTCTGGGGACACTTTCCATGGATCTCTGTGTCCCTGGTCTAGAGGCAGTGTCTAACTGGGGACACTTACTTTGGATCTCTGTCTCCCTGGTCTAGAGGCAGTGTCAGACTTGCTTACACTTTCCTTGGATCTCTGTGTCCCTGGTCTAGAGGCAGTGTCCGTCTGGGGACACTTTCCATGGATCTCTGTGTCCCTGGTCTAGAGGCAGTGTCAGACTGGGGACACCTACCTTGGATCTCTGTCTCCCTGGTCTAGAGGCATTGTCCGTCTGGGGACACTTTCCATGGATCTCTGTCTCCCTGGTCTTGAGGCAGTGTCAGACTTGCGTACACTTTCCTTGGATCTCTGTGTCCCTGGTCTAGATGCAGTGTCCGTCTGGGGACACTTTCCATGGATCTCTGTCTCCCTGGTCTAGAGGCAGTGTCAGACGGGGACTCCTACCTTGGATCTCTGTCTCCCTGGTCTAGAGGCAGTGTCTGACTGGGGCCTGTTACCTTGGATCTCTGTGTCCCTGGTCTAGAGGCAGTGTCCGTCTGGGGACACTTTCCATGGATCTCTGTCTCCCTGGTCTAGAGGCAGCGACAGATTGGGGACACCTGCCTTTGATCTCTGTCTCCCTGGTCTAGAGGCAGTGTCAGACGGGGACACCTGCCTTTGATCTCTGTCTCCCTGGTCTAGAGGCAGTGTCAGACGGGGACACCTGCCTTTGATCTCTGTCTCCCTGGTCTAGAGGCAGTGTCAGACGGGGACACCTGCCTTTGATCTCTGTCTCCCTGGTCTAGAGGCAGTGTATGACTGGGGCCTGTTACCTTGGATCTCTGTCTCCCTGGTCTAGAGGCAGTGTCAGATGGGGACTCCTACCTTGGATCTCTGTCTCCCTGGTCTAGAGGCAGTGTCAGTCTGGGGACACTTACCTTGGATCTCTGTGTCCCTGGTCTAGAGGCAGTGTCCGTCTGGGGACACTTTCCATGGATCTCTGTCTCCCTGGTCTAGAGGCAGTGACAGACTGGGGACACCTGCCTTTGATCTCTGTCTCCCTGGTCTAGAGGCAGTGTCAGACGGGGACTCCTACCTTGGATCTCTGTCTCCCTGGTCTAGAGGCAGTGTCAGGCTGGGGACACTTTCCATGGATCTCTGTCTCCCTGGTCTATAGGCAGTGTCAGACTTGCTTACACTTTCCATGGATCTCTGTGTCCCTGGTCTAGAGGCAGTGTCTAACTGGGGACACTTACCTTGGATCTCTGTCTCCCTGGTCTAGAGGCAGTGTCAGACTGGGGACACCTACCTTGGATCTCTGTGTCCCTGGTCTAGAGGCATTGTCCGTCTGGGGACACTTTCCATGGGTCTCTGTCTCCCTGGTCTAGAGGCAGTGTCAGACTTGCGTACACTTTCCTTGGATCTCTGTGTCCCTGGTCTAGAGGCAGTGTCAGACGGGGACACTTTCCATGGATCTCTGTCTCCCTGGTCTAGAGGCAGTGTCAGACGGGGACTCCTACCTTGGATCTCTGTCTCCCTGGTCTAGAGGCAGTGTCTGACTGGGGCCTGTTACCTTGGATCTCTGTCTCCCTGGTCTAGAGGCAGTGTCAGATGGGGACTCCTACCTTGGATCTCTGTCTCCCTGGTCTAGAGGCAGTGTCAGTCTGGGGACACTTCCTTGGATCTCTGTGTCCCTGGTCTAGAGGCAGTGTCCGTCTGGGGACACTTTCCATGGATCTCTGTCTCCCTGGTCTAGAGGCAGCGACAGATTGGGGACACCAGCCTTTGATCTCTGTCTCCCTGGTCTAGAGGCAGTGTCAGACGGGGACTCCTACCTTGGATCTCTGTCTCCCTGGTCTAGAGGCAGTGTCAGACTGGGAACACTTTCCATGGATCTCTGTCTCCCTGGTCTAGAGGCAGTGTCTGACTGGGGCCTGTTACCTTGGATCTCTGTCTCCCTGGTCTAGAGGCAGTGTCAGATGGGGACTCCTACCTTGGATCTCTGTCTCCCTGGTCTAAAGGCAGTGTCAGTCTGGGGACACTTACTTTGGATCTCTGTGTCCCTGGTCTAGAGGCAGTGTCCGTCTGGGGACACTTTCCATGGATATCTGTCTCCCTGGTCTAGAGGCAGCGACAGACTGGGGACACCTGCCTTTGATCTCTGTCTCCCTGGTCTAGAGGCAGTGTCAGACGGGGACTCCTACCTTGGATCTCTGTCTCCCTGGTCTAGAGGCAGTGTCAGGCTGGGGACACTTTCCATGGATCTCTGTCTCCCTGGTCTAGAGGCAGTGACAGACTGGGTTAATCATTATAATATTTGACAGTCAATTCTGTGAAAATAATATTTTTGAATTAATGGTACTTTCCATTATAGATTTATTTACAAGAAGAATATTAAGATATTTTTAAGAAGGAATATCCTCGCCATTTTGTCTTTGGAAGAACAAAAATGAATGTCCTATATGAGAAACAACAACAATTCATTACAACTTGACCTTCATTTATTTCTCAAATGCTGATCGTAAGTCACATTTAACTGCTCATCGTATCTATACATGATCACATCACACCAGACTCTTTCTCTCAGAAGTCACTCATAACTACAGCACAGAGTGTAGAATCAGACCTCTGTCATACCCAGACTATACTTGTCACCCATTACTACAGCACAGAGAATCAAACTTGTCATACCCAGACTATACTTGTCACCCATTACTACAGCACAGAGAATCAAACTTCTGTCATACCCAGACTATACTAACATATGACTAGCATCACACAATCACTACACATATATCACTTCACTCAATATCACACATACCTCACTTCACTCAATATCACACATACCTCACTTCACTCAATATCACACATACCTCACTTCACTCAATATCACACATATATCACTTCACTCAATATCACACATACCTCACTTCACTCAATATCACACATACCTCACTTCACTCAATATCACACATACCTCACTTCACTCAATATCACACATATATCACTTCACTCAATATCACACATACCTCACTTCACTCAATATCACACATATATCACTTCACTCAATATCACACATACCTCACTTCACTCAATATCACACATATATCACTTCACTCAATATCACACATACCTCACTTCATTACTAATACTAAACATAAAATCAAACCATCTGCCTCACATTACACAATCTGTTACACCAGACTGGAGAAGCACCATGTAAACTGGACAATTCAGAGCCGAAAATTGCCATCAACAATGTGACAGCTTAAATCAACAGTACAGCAATTGTAAGCTGGGAAGAAGAAAACTGATACTCGAAGGACTTTTTCCCAAACTTTTATTTCACGAATAAAAGGCAGAAACTGTTCAGGTATTTCAGGCTGAGTAAAATAGACATTTTTCATCTCCTGTATTTGGGTGGTGCTATTTATAACTAGGAAATATGACAAGACAAATGTCTGATGATATGTCTGACTATTACATCCTGATCAGAAATTTTACTCAGTATAAACCATCTCATAAAATATCCTCACCATATCATTGGTGAACAAGAACCACCTGATCACATCCTGAACACATCATTGGTGGACCAGTATCACCTGATCACATCCCAACCATATCATTGGTGGACCAACCAGTATCACCTGATCACATCCCCATCATATCATTGGTGGACCAGAATCACCTGATCACATTCCCATCATATCATTGGTGGACCAGTATCACCTGATCATATTCCCATCATATAATTGGTGGACCAGTATCACCTGATCACATCCCCATCATATCATTGGTGGACCAGAATCACCTGATCACATCCCAACCTTATCATTGGTGGACCAGAATCACCTGATCACATCCTGAACACATCATTGGTTAACCAGTCTCACCCGATCCCTTTTGCCTTTTTTTAGCTGTCAAGACTTTCTTTGGAATTGTATCTTATCCAATATCAGTCATGTTTACACAATCAATTGTGTTTTCACTAAGCAAAAGGATCTTAAATATATCTTAGTTACATATTACTGATGTCAACATGCCAAAATCTTCATCATCTTCAAAATGCTACACTGATTGGGCAGCAGCTGTAGAAGGTGTCAGTCTTTCGTCAGCCAGACCTAACTCTGATGTCTGATTGGTCTGCTGGGATGTTGCAGCTGCAAACAAAGTATCCATGGTACCCATCACCTCATACAGCTGTTTCATCAGGGCTACCTCACGCTGGACAACATGGTTAACACGCTTCAGGTGGGCACCAAGGTCATGGGACTGGTCAATTAAGCCTTTGTACATTTCTGCAAGCAACGAGTGAAAAATAAACAAGGTTATGATGTATCAATAAAAATAGGTAGAAAGCTTAACATGAGACTGGTAGATAAATAACCAATGGTAGAAAGCTTAACATGAGACTGGTAGATAAATAACCAATGGTAGAAAGCTTAACATGGGACTGGCAGATAAATAACCAATGGTAAAAAGCTTAACATGGGACTGGTGGATAAATAACCAATGGTAAAAAGCTTAACATGAGACTGGTAGATAAATAACCAATGGTAGAAAGCTTAACATGGGACTGGCAGATAAATAACCAATGGTAGAAAGCTTAACATGGTGTATGAATAATATAACATTAGCAGTCCTAGCTTCACTTACCTAGTAACAGGGCCATAATATCAATTAGTGTATTCATGTACCTAGGCTTGTAAATGTTTCTGAAATAAAACAAGTAATATTGATCATCTATCCATCACCTAATCACCATTATAGTGGCATCATTTAGTAAGGGCAAATAATGTAAAATAGGGTGTTGTCTGTGTACAGGATGTTGACTGTGTACAGGATGTTGACTGTGTACAGGATGTTGTCTGTGTACAGGATGTTGACTGCATACAGGGTGTTGACTGTGTACAGGATGTTGACTGTGTACAGGATGTTGTCTGTGTACAGGATGTTGTCTGTGTACAGGGTGTTGTCTGTGTACAGGGTGTTGCCTGTGTACAGGATGTTGACTGTGTACAGGATGTTGACTGTGTACAGGATGTTGTCTGTGTACAGGATGTTGACTGCATACAGGGTGTTGACTGTGTACAGGATGTTGACTGTGTACAGGATGTTGACTGCATACAGGGTGTTGACTGTGTACAGGATGTTGACTGTGTACAGGGTGTAGACTGTGTACAGGGTGTTGACTGTACAGGGTGTTGACTGTGTACAGGATGTTGACTGTGTACAGGATGTTGTCTGTGTACAGGATGTTGACTGCATACAGGGTGTTGACTGTGTACAGGATGTTGACTGTGTACAGGGTGTAGACTGTGTACAGGGTGTTGACTGTGTACAGGATGTTGACTGTGTACAGGATGTTGACTGTGTATAGGGTGTTGACTATGTACAGGATGTTGACTGTGTACAGGATGTTGTCTGTGTACAGGATGTTGACTGTGTACAGGATATTGACTTTGTACAGGATGTTGACTGTGTACAGGGTGTTGACTGTGTACAGGACGTTGACTTTGAACAGGGTGTTGACTGTGTACAGGATGTTGACTGTGTATAGGGTGTTTACTGTGTACAGGGTGTAGACTGTGTACAGGGTGTTGACTGCATACAGGGTGTTGACTGTGTACAGGGTGTTGACTGTGTACAGGATGTGGACTGTGTACAGGATGTTGACTGTGTATAGGGTGTTGACTGTGTACAGGATGTTGACTGTGTACAGGATGTTGTCTGTGTACAGGATGTTGACTGTGTACAGGATGTTGTCTGTGTACAGGATGTTGTCTGTGTACAGGATGTTGACTGTGTACAGGATGTTGACTTTGTACAGGATGTTGACTGTGTACAGGGTGTTGACTGTGTACAGGATGTTGTCTGTGTACAGAGTGTTGACTGTGTACAGGATGTTGATTGTGTACAGGGTGTTGACTGCATACAGGGTGTTGACTGTGTACAGGACATTGACTTTGAACAGGGTGTTGACTGTGTACAGGATGTTGACTGTGTACAGGATGTTGACTTTGTACAGGATGTTGACTGTGTACAGGGTGTTGACTGTACAGGATGTTGTCTGTGTACAGGATGTTGATTGTGTACAGGGTGTTGACTGCATACAGGGTGTTGACTGTGTACAGGGTGTTGACTGTGTACAGGACGTTGACTTTGAACAGGGTGTTGACTGTGTACAGGATGTTGACTGTGTATAGGGTGTTGACTGCATACAGGGTGTTGACTGTGTACAGGGTGTTGACTGTGTACAGGACGTTGACTTTGAACAGGGTGTTGACTGTGTACAGGATGTTGACTGTGTATAGGGTGTTTACTGTGTACAGGGTGTAGACTGTGTACAGGGTGTTGACTGTGTACAGGATGTTGTCTGTGTACAGAGTGTTGACTGTGTACAGGATGTTGATTGTTTACAGGGTGTTGACTGCATACAGGGTGTTGACTGTGTACAGGGTGTTGACTGTGTACAGGACGTTGACTTTGAACAGGGTGTTGACTGTGTACAGGATGTTGACTGTGTATAGGGTGTTTACTGTGTACAGGGTGTAGACTGTGTACAGGGTGTTGACTGCATACAGGGTGTTGACTGTGTACAGGGTGTTGACTGTGTACAGGATGTGGACTATGTACAGGATGTTGACTGTGTATAGGGTGTTGACTGTGTACAGGATGTTGTCTGTGTACAGGATGTTGACTGCGTACAGGATATTGACTTTGTACAGGATGTTGACTGTGTACAGGGTGTTGACTGTGTACAGGACATTGACTTCGAACAGGGTGTTGACTGTGTACAGGATGTTGACTGTGTATAGGGTGTTTACTGTGTACAGGGTGTAGACTGTGTACAGGGTGTTGACTGCATACAGGGTGTTGACTGTGTACAGGGTGTTGACTGTGTACAGGATGTGGACTATGTACAGGATGTTGACTGTGTACAGGATGTTGACTGTGTACAGGATGTTGTCTGTGTACAGGATGTTGACTGCGTACAGGATGTTGACTTTGTACAGGATGTTGACTGTGTACAGGGTGTTGACTGTGTACAGGACATTGACTTCGAACAGGGTGTTGACTGTGTACAGGATGTTGACTGTGTATAGGGTGTTTACTGTGTACAGGGTGTTGACTGCATACAGGGTGTTGACTGTGTACAGGGTGTTGACTGTGTACAGGATGTGGACTGTGTACAGGAAGTTGACTGTGTACAGGAAGTTGACTGTGTATAGGGTGTTGACTGTGTACAGGATGTTGACTGTGTACAGGATGTTGTCTGTGTACAGGATGTTGACTTTGTACAGGATGTTGACTGTGTACAGGGTGTTGACTGTGTACAGGATGTTGTCTGTGTACAGGGTGTTGTCTGTGTACAGGATGTTGACTGTGTACAGGATGTTGACTGTGTACAGGATGTTGACTGTGTACAGAGTGTTGACTGTGTACAAGATGTTGACTGTGTACAGGGTGTTGACTGTGTACAGGACCTTGACTTTGAACAGGGTGTTGACTGTGTACAGGGTGTTGACTGTGTACAGGATGTGGACTGTGTACAGGATGTTGACTGTGTACAGGGTGTTGACTGTGTACAGGGTGTTGATTGTGTACAGGGTGTAGACAGTGTACAGGGTGTGGACTGTGTACAGGATGTTGACTGTGTACAGGGTATTGATGCTCAAAGAATTTCAGACTACATGATAAAAATAAATTTGTATTTACAAATTCAATTTTACACTCATATGAGGAAGAGAATCTTTCACTTGTGTTATACTTGATTGGAAATACAGCAGTACAGATACATGTATCATACTGGGATTGAATTGAATGTTTTCAAACCATTGATGAGAATCTTACTTTTCTATAAATCTGAGTAGATGTGACAAAGATTTCTCCTCCCTGCCTGCCAGAGCTGGTCTGATTCCTTCACGTCGTATAAGCTCCTGTAGGACTGATAATGTTACATCTGGATTGGATAATCGGACAGTCCACTGTAAATGGAAAAATGTCAACCCACATCAGAAATATATATTGTAATGATTTTCACTTAAGAAACACTAACACCTAGTTAATGTACATGATCAATAGTACTTGGTCCATTTGCCTGACTGTTAAAAGCCTAAAAAGTGAATTTCCCAGCTACTAGTATCTGGCTTAATATCCTGCATATTTTATAGTTCCCTGTCCATTTTCCTGTCCACTACTATCCACACTATTTTCCTATCGACAATCACCAGCCCATTCTCCTATCCACTAGTACCTGATAAATCTTCTTATCCACCAGTACCTGATAAACCTGATCCACTAGTACCTGATAAACCTGATCCACTAGTACCTGATAAATCTTCTTATCCACCAGTACCTGATAAACCTGATCCACTAGTACCTGGTAAACCTTCTTATCCACCAGTATCTGATAAACCTTCTTATCCACCAGTACCTGATAAACCTTCTTATCCACAGTATCTGATAAACCTTCTTATCCACTAGTATCTGATAAACCTTCTTATCCACCAGTACCTGATAAACCTGATCCACTAGTACCTGATAAACCTGATCCACTAGTACCTGATAAATCTTCTTATCCACCAGTACCTGATAAACCTGATCCACTAGTACCTGGTAAACCTTCTTATCCACCAGTATCTGATAAACCTTCTTATCCACCAGTACCTGATAAACCTTCTTATCCACAGTATCTGATAAACCTTCTTATCCACTAGTATCTGATAAACCTTCTTATCCACCTGTACCTGATAAACCTGATCCATTAGTACCTGGTAAACCTTCTTATCCACCAGTATCTGATTAACCTTGTTATCCACCAGTACCTGATAAACCAGATCCACCATTACCTGATAAACCTTCTTATCCACCAGTATCTGATAAACCTTCTTATCCACTAGTACCTGATAAATCTGATCCACTAGTACCTGATAAACCTTCTTATCCACAGTATCTGATAAACCTTCTTATCCACTAGTATCTGATTAACCTTCTTATCCACTAGTACCTGATAAATCTGATCCACTAGTACCTGAGAAACCTTCTTATCTACCAGTATCTGATAAACCTTCTTATCCACTAGTACCTGATAAATCTTATCCACTAGTACCTGATAAACCTTCTTATCCACCAGTATCTGATAAACCTTCTTATCCACCCGTACCTGATAAACCTGATCCACTAGTACCTGGTAAACCTTCTTATCCACAGTATCTGATAAACCTTCTTATCCACTAGTATCTGATAAACCTTCTTACCCACCAGTACCTGATAAACCTGATCCACCAGTACCCAGCCCATTTTCTTATCCACTAGTACCTGATAAACCTCCTTATCCACCAGTATCTGATAAACCTTCTTATCCACCCGTACCTGATAAACCTTCTTATCCACCAGTACCTGATAAACCTTCTTATCCACCAGTAGCTGATAAACCTTCTTATCCACCAGTACCTGATAAACCTTCTTATCCACCAGTACCCAGCCCATTTTCTTATCCACTAGTACCTGATAAACCTTCTTATCCACTAGTACCTGATAAACCTTCTTATCCACCCGTACTTGATAAATTGTCTTATCCACCAGTAATCCAGCCAATTTTTTTCTGTTCACCATTTCAGGTAAATTTAGTTATTTACTTACATGCATAGCAGCGTCCAGAGCCCTGCTGTACTCAAACTTCTTTAGGAATTTGTCGTACTTGGTAAGGTGGTCTTTCCTGGTATGCTCCACGTGATAATCATCCTGTTAAGTATGAGACATACATTTTATATCTTATAGGACAAAATAATTCCTTCTCAGGTCTCTGAAATCCATACTATATTGATGATTAAATGTAATAAATTTTGTCGTTTTAAAATTTGAATTCTGTAAAGGTAATCCAGGTCAACACAGACACTTGAAGCATTAGAACGATAGTAATGAGTGCCTCCTACAGCGATCTTGACCTACTTCCTATGGAATATTATAATCTTGACCTACTTCCTATGGAATATTATAATCTTGACCTACTTCCTATGAAATATTATAATCTTGACCTACTTCCTATGGAATATTATAATCTTGACCTACTTCCTATGGAATATTATAATCTTGACCTACTTCCTATGGAATATAATAATCTTGACCTACCTCCTATGGAATATTACAATCTTGACCTACTTTCTGTGGAATATTATAATCTTGACCTACTCTCTGTGGAATATTGCAATCTTGACCTACTTCCTATGGAATATTATAATCTTGACCTACTTTATATGGAATATTATAATCTTGACCTACTCTCTGTGGAATATTATAATCTTCACCTACTTCCTATGGAATATTATAATCTTGACTTATTTCTGGTGGAATATTACAATCTTGACCCACTTCTTATGGAACATTACAATCTTGACCTACTTCTTTTTCCTATGGAACATAATTTCCATACATTTTTCATGAGTGAAATATACATGATAATTAATGGGGAAATTAAATTCTCTTTTTAATACATTAAGATTTGACAGAAAACAACCATTTATCAAACCATTTTTTTCATTTGCATTTTAAAAGGAAATAGGTTAACAAAGCACAGTTCTGATTGGTCTAAACCACAAAAGTTGCATCATCACTGGAAAAGCTTGATTATTAATAGAGGATAAATACAAGATTTCTTAGTTTTTATCAAACTGATAAATTCCAGTATTTCACTGGCAAAAATGTAACACACTTGGCCAGTTTCGTATGGAATATAACATATTTGGCCTGCCTTCTATAGAACATAATGTTCTCAGTCTGCCTCCTATAGGACATAATGTTCTCAGTCTGCCTCCTATAGGACATAATGTTCTCAGCCTGGCTCCTATAGAGCATAATGTTCTCAGCCTGCCTCTTATAGAACACAATGTTCTCAGCATGCCTTCTATAGAACATAATGTTCTCAGTCTGCCTTCTATAGAACATAATGTTCTCAGCCTGCCTTCTATAGAGCATAATGTTCTCAGTTTGCCTTCTATAGAACATAATGTTCTCAGTCTGCCTCCTATAGAACATAATGTTCTCAGTCTGCCTTCTATAGAACATAATGTTCTCAGCCTGCCTCCTATAGAACATAATGTTCTCAGCCTACCTCCTATAGAACATAATGTTCTCAGTCTGCTTTCTATAGAACATAATGTTCTCAGTCTGCCTCCTATAGAACATAATGTTCTCATCCTACCTCCTATAGAACATAATGTTCTCAGCATGCCTTCTATAGAACATAATGTTCTCAGCCTACCTCCTATAGAACATAATGTTCTCATCCTACCTCCTATAGAACATTATGTTCTCAGCCTACCTCCTATAGAACATAATGTTCTCAGCCTACCTCCTATAGAACATTATGTTCTCAGTCTGACTCCTATAGAACACAATGACCTCTGTCAACTGGCCCATGTTTCACCAGCAACATACACCTACCTCGTCTGGAATATGTGTTTTCCCTTTGAGACCAAATCTACTGTTCTGGACTTTCTTTTTCTTAGGCATGACTTCATCTTCTGGTTTCCTCTTTTGTATGGACACCAAACCTTCTGCTGTTCCTACCACAAGTAAGTTGTCGTCAGGCTGGAATGTAAGATCAGCACATCACATGATAACAGGTCAGAAGTCACATGTACATATTCTTCCCAGTAATAAGGGGGAGATAATTCAAGTATCCCTGACCATTCTATATCCACTATAGCATAACAGAGAAGGGGTCGAAATCTGGGGCTGTTCAGGTATAACATTGTTGAAAAGTTAGCTGATAAGACTACATTTGATCATGCCCCAAAGGCTGGAGTCAAAATGTTACCATGGATATTTTACCCCATATGATATATCCAAGGTGTTAGACGTTCCTTTTAGATTAATAATTTTGACAAAGCACCCAAACCCATTCCACCAATAAAGAATATTGAACCATATCAACATCAAAAGAAGACTGTTTAAATTTCAAGCCAATTTCACTCCTTGTGTTCACCCCCAAAAGGCTTCTGTTCTGTGAGGACTATATTCAATACATTGGGTCACTTTTGGCTATGAAAGGTTTCTATAGAATTTCCATTAAAATCAGCTGTAAGCTTTTTGAAAAAAAGTTGAAATTTTCAAATGTTTCTGGATATATAATGAAAAAGGAAAGACCTTAACAAAATGACTTTTCTGACTAAATAACATGAATTCACAAACCTATAGTTCTACTGTTTTGTTATTTACTAGATATAAAGTTGAGGTGCTGTGTATGTATATATATACTTACAGACACAGCGACAGCTGTAAGGGTCCCAGGGTAGTCTAGTGTATGTACAACTTGGTAGGAACTTAAGTCATAGATCTTTACATGTCTGAAATACATAGGAATATCTTGTATAATAATGTAAGGACTTTTATTTATAATACTGGAAAATAACAAAAGTAGACACAGGTGGCATGAAATCACTATGTAACAGTAGTATTAAATCACAGTATAGACACCTTAGTGATGCGATAACCATAGACACTTTAATATCCTGTGATAACAATACACACATAAGTATCATGAGATAACAGTAGACACCTTAATATCATGTGATTTCAGTAGACACCTTAATATCATGTGATAACAGTAGACACCTTAGCATCATGTGATTTCAGTAGACACCTTAATATCATGTGATAACAGTAGACACCTTAGTATCATGAGATAACAGTAGACACTTAGGTATCATGTGATTTCAGTAGACACCTTAGTATCATGTGATAACAGTAGACACATATGTATTATGTGATAACAGTAGACACCTTAATATCATGTGATATCAGTAGACACCAAAGTATCATGTGATAACAATGCACACATAGGCATCATGTGATAACAGTAGACACATAAGTATTATGTGATAACAGTAGACACCTTAGTATCATGAGATAACAGTAGACACTTAGGTATCATGTGATAACAGTAGACACCTTAGTATCATGTGATTTCAGTAGACACCTTAATATCATGTGATAACAGTAGACACAATAGTATCATAAGATAACAGTAGACACCAAAGTATCATGTGATAACAGTAGACACCTTAGTATCATGTGATATCAGAAGACACTTTAGTATCATGTGATAACAATGCACACATAGGTATCATGTGATAACAGTAGACACAATAGTATCATAAGATAACAGAAAACACCAAAGTATCATGTGATAACAGTAGACACTTTGGTATCATGTGATAACAATAGACACCATAGTATCATGTGATAACAGTAGAAACCAAAGTATCATGTGATAACAGTAGACACCTTAGTATCATGAGATAACAGTAGACACTTAGGTATCATGTGATAACAGTAGACACCTTAGTATCATGTGATTTCAGTAGACACCTTAATATCATGTGATAACAGTAGACACAATAGTATCATAAGATAACAGTAGACACCAAAGTATCATGTGATAACAGTAGACACAATAGTATCATAAGATAACAGTAGACACCAAAGTATCATGTGATAACAGTAGACACCTTAGTATCATGTGATATCAGAAGACACTTTAGTATCATGTGATAACAATGCACACATAGGTATCATGTGATAACAGTAGACACAATAGTATCATAAGATAACAGAAAACACCAAAGTATCATGTGATAACAGTAGACACTTTGGTATCATGTGATAACAATAGACACCATAGTATCATGTGATAACAGTAGAAACCAAAGTATCATGTGATAACAGTAGACACCTTAGTATCATGAGATAACAGTAGACACTTAGGTATCATGTGATAACAGTAGACACCTTAGTATCATGTGATTTCAGTAGACACCTTAATATCATGTGATAACAGTAGACACAATAGTATCATAAGATAACAGTAGACACCAAAGTATCATGTGATAACAGTAGACACAATAGTATCATAAGATAACAGTAGACACCAAAGTATCATGTGATAACAGTAGACACCTTAGTATCATGTGATATCAGAAGACACTTTAGTATCATGTGATAACAATGCACACATAGGTATCATGTGATAACAGTAGACACAATAGTATCATAAGATAACAGAAGACACCAAAGTATCATGTGATAACAGTAGACACTTTGGTATCATGTGATAACAATAGACACCATAGTATCATGTGATAACAGTAGAAACCAAAGTATTATGTGATAACAGTAGACACCTTAGTATCATGAGATAACAGTAGACACTTAGGTATCATGTGATAACAGTAGACACCTTAGTATCATGTGATTTCAGTAGACACCTTAATATCATGTGATAACAGTAGACACAATAGTATCATAAGATAACAGTAGACACCAAAGTATCATGTGATAACAGTAGACACCTTAGTATCATGTGATAACAGTAGACACCTTAGTATCATGTGATAACAGTAGACACAATAGTATCATAAGATAACAGTAGACACCAAAGTATCATGTGATAACAGTAGACACCTTAGTATCATGTGATAACAGTAGACACCTTAGTATCATGTGATAACAGTAGACACAATAGTATTATAAGATAACAGTAGACACCTTAGTATCATGTGATAACAGTAGACACCTTAATATCATGTGATAACAGTAGACACCTTAATATCATGTGATAACAGTAGACACCTTAATATCATGTGATATCAGTAGACACCAAAGTATCATGTGATAACAATGCACACATGGGCATCATGTGATAACAGTAGACACCTTAGAATCATGTGATTTCAGTAGACACCTTAATATCATGTGATAACAGTAGACACCTTAGTATCATGTGATAACAGTAGACACCTTAGTATCATGTGATAACAGTAGACACAATAGTATCATAAGATAACAGTAGACACCAAAGTATCATGTGATAACAGTAGACACCTTAGTATCATAAGATAACAGTAGACACCAAAGTATCATGCGATAACAGTAGACACCTTAGTATCATGTGATAACAGTAGACACCTCAGTATCATGTGATAACAGTAGACACAATAGTATCATAAGATAACAGTAGACACCAAAGTATCATGTGATAACAGTAGACACCTTAGTATCATGTGATAACAGTAGACACCTTAGTATCATGTGATAACAGTAGACACAATAGTATTATAAGATAACAGTAGACACCTTAGTATCATGTGATAACAGTAGACACCTTAATATCATGTGATAACAGTAGACACCTTAATATCATGTGATAACAGTAGACACCTTAATATCATGTGATATCAGTAGACACCAAAGTATCATGTGATAACAATGCACACATGGGCATCATGTGATAACAGTAGACACCTTAGAATCATGTGATTTCAGTAGACACCTTAATATCATGTGATAACAGTAGACACAATAGTATTATAAGATAACAGTAGACACCAAAGTATCATGTGATAACAGTAGACACCTTAGTATCATAGGATATCAGTAGACACTTTAGTATCATGTTATAACAGTAGACACTTTAGTATCATGTGATAACAGTAGACACCTTAGTATCATGTGATAACAGCAGATAATTTAGTATCATGTGCTAACAGTAGACACCTTAGTATCATGTGATAATTATAGACACTTTGGTATCATGTGATAACAGTAGACACTATCAGACACAGGTATCACATCTTTATACTGTGATATAGTAAGACATATTTCCATTGTCTGACAGTAGCCATCTATACCATCTCTGTAGCCATTAGATAAGGGATCATTGTAACTGAGGGAGAAAAGCGTTTTTATCAGACTCCACTCATCTAACAGAAATCAAACTAATACTGTCATAAACTGAATTCATATCCCACTGTCTTAATGCAAATAAACACATTTAATGTAATAAAACTATATCTAATTTACAGAAATGTTGAGCATGGCATTATTGTTGAACAAAATATCCAATAAAATGAGAGAGTGGTGCTTGTTGAATATCATTTGTCAATAAATTAAAGCCAATCTCATTTCTACACAGTAACACCTTCACCATCATACGCTGCATTCTGTTTCCTCAAAGCAAATTTAGTGTTCATCAAACTAGATTAAGGTGATTGTGCTGCAATTGTTTGCTGCCACCACTCCTCCAGAGGACATTCTGGCCCACTTCTATTGTATAATCAAATTAAACAATAGTACTACTTAAAGCCAGTTAATAAACTCATCCACCGAATCAACAGGGATTTCTAACAAATTGCATCATAAATTTTCTTGAAGAAATCGCAAAATAAAAAGTTATAGAATTTTACAAATGATGCGTATAAATAGACAATGTGTACAAATTGCCATAAAATAAGTCGGTGATATAAAATGATACACTTTTGTTTTCTATCACGATGGTTAATTCTTTTTATTTAAAAAAAAAAAAAAATGATGATATAATCATAACCTTTATAAACGACTTCAGAAAATGTGGAAAAGAAACAACAAATATTCTTGTCTTTCGAATCATGCAGAAATGGGAAATTTATAAAAATGTAATTACTGTGAATATGGTACAGATGTGAAAGTAATTTGATTTGGGAGACGAGAATTACATAACTGTGTACAACAAGAGCTAGCATTCTTGTGTCAGAAACTGTACAAGTTTTCAGTTTGTATCCTCCTTAGTTACCCATAAACTAAATAGCATGCGGTGTTACATGGGCAGAAAATGATACCTGGAGTATCAATGCCGACCAAGGATAAAATGATACACTCAACACTGACAGGGGCCCCACTGACTACATAAAAACCAAACATGTAAGTATGCAGATGAGCACAATGCATGTTAATACCTCTGCCACCCTGCGACATTCTCACTGATTTATTACCATCTGATTCAGCCTGACTTTATGTTTATCTGTAATTCAAGGTTTGCATTAAAGTAATAATGCGATCAACACTATGGAATGTAAGGTAGATGCTGGGATCTACCATCCACGCATGCTGACATTAGCATGCCGCACAGCCAAAACTAACCAAATAGCACGAACTTGCTCACATGCATTCATCTGACATTTATTAGATAGAAAACATTTGAATGTTTATTTCATTATATAATTAGAACCAGAGTAAACAGGAGGGTTTACATCACCGACTTCGTCCCTGGACCACCGTCAATGACATAGTCCTGCCACTAGGTGGCGTACCAGCTCTGTGGGGAGGAGTAATCACAAGGTTTACGATTATTGCTTGTCATATAGAAGCGCTATAAATCCTAATTATACATCTCTGCTGGGGCTTGGTTGACATACATTATTGTGAAATCACATGTAGTCAAGAGCAAGATTTAAGATTTTCTCAATTTATAAATCTGCCTCACATTATTTTGACGGTGAAAACATTGCTGCGTATTGGTGGATGTCACCTC